TTTAGCTTACATCCAGGAAATGTCTTTTGATTTGTAGAGGGTGAACAGACAGAAGAAAGCATTAGGGGACTGGAGATGGAAAATTCAACAGCTGTAGCTTGCATTAAAAGCAGCACCTGCTGAAATGTCTGTTTTTAAACAACTACTAAAGATGCAGGAACCCCGCCCATTTTTTAATCGGGTCACTCCATTCCAGTATATATGTTGCGAGCTACTTTCAGAATAAAGGAACGTGGGTCTAAATTAAAACATCTTTTATTTAAAAAAAAGTTATGAAGAAATTGCCCTTTATAAAATCACAGTAATTGTCAGAGGCAGGCTCATTTCGGGGGGCCCCATTCCCCCCCTTTTTTTGCAGCTCCTCGTCAACAACAGGACACGGGGCTTGCCACAGGCGCACACTCTCACACCCTACCAACGCTTTGCGGAGAGCGCTCTTCTGCGCAGGCTCCACTCGAGTAAAACAAAATGGAGGGAGCGAGGAGAACGTGACGGGAAGCCGACGCATATAATTGGCGAGGAGGAAAAAGGGGCGCGCGCCGGGGTGGGGTGGGGGGAAAAGACGGCCTCATGACTCTATTTTCGCGAGGGCAAGGAGAAGGCGGGCGTCTTAGTAGGCGAGGCGTCATAAACGCTCTCAGTTAGGTCGGGAAGGAGTGCGTGGTGCCTGCTTACCTTGGGTGTTGGAGGTAAAAGGCCAAGCCTTTAGCGCCAGGGAGAAAAAGGCCTGCGGTTTGCGTCTGTGGGCATAGGAGGAAGCCTCAAACCTGTAGATAAGTGCGTGACGTCGCCATATAGTAAAACAGAAGGAATTCCAGGAACGTTTGTTGATGGCTGAGGTGCTAAAAGGACTAGATTCCTGAAAGTAAGAAAGGAAAGAGAGGTCGTAAGGTGGAGGGGGGGGGGAAAATCAGCTGGTGAGACTATTTAAAAATGTATATGCCGCCTTTCTTCCAAAGGATGCAAGGCGGCGTACGGTGTTACGATGTGAGGGGGAAATTCCTCTGGCATTGGAGGTTAATCGTTATTTAGCGACCAGGAAAAGGAGAAGTTGAGATTCGCGTTCAGTATGTTGTGTTGCTCAGGAGAGCCTTTCGGGTCGTTTAAGCCGGAATAATCAAATTCCGAGAGATCTTTTTTTTAAAAAAACACGGAATGGAAATTATGATGTTGTTGAGAAAATAGTAATACTGTAATAAGGTTTAAGATCAGTGTAGAAGTCAGTGTGGAGTTAAAATTCGGTCACTACTTCCCCTCAAAAGTGTTCATCTTCCTGGATGGGGAGGAGGTCCAAAAGACTTCCTCTAGGTTCGCCCTGCTTGTTAAATCCTGACTATGGTTGTATCTTAGGGCAGAAAGTGATGACTGGAAGATGAGTCTTTTAATTTGAGATGTGTAGGTGTAATAACCAGTATTTAATATTTTTATTTAAAAATTTGTCCCACCCCTCTAGTGGCCAGTATTCACTTTCCATTTCATGTATGCAATAATAGTTTGAGAAAAGGTTTAGCAAGAATCTTTAATGATAATTCTGTCAAGTCAGTTTAGAATCATGGCAACCCTTTCCAGAGTTTGTTCCTTTCCAGAATAAGGGTTTCCCATCCCCATATTCTGCAGGCACTCTAGGACTAGGATCAACATAATTTTAGTAAGTCCTATAAAACCTGGCATATCAGAAGAAAGGAGATCTGCCAACATCCCTTTCATAACATTTTTGACAGTTTTTGTTGGTCTTGTTGTTGATTTGCCAACAATTTTTTCACAGCAAGTGTAGTGCCTAAGTGCTATATTAAAGGTGATTTTGCTTCTCAGAGGCAAATTGAGTTTATTCATAATTATAGTTATAAACTTAAAAATTAACATTTGCACCTTATTGATAGCTTTATTCAGAATGTATCAATTTCAGTATAATATTTTCAAATACATATGCTTAAGACAGATTTCTATCCTTTTTGAAAACAAAAAAAATATGGGTAGAAGTAGATGGTAGTAATCTTTACATTACTTTTTAATCATATCAAAATAAAGGTTTTCAAGAATGCATTAGTACCACAGTTTGCAAGGGTTTAAAGCAAGTGTTGATGCTGTATCAAGAGCTGTAGATTAATTCCTTGCAGTAGGGGGGATGTGAAAAAATATGTATACAGGGAACTAAAATGTCATGGATCAAAATGAGATTTTGGACTTAAAAGAAAGAAGAATGTGCCATATGGGTCTTATGAAGAAACATGCACAAAAATTCCTATCTGCAAAATAGTTGCTGTGCTTATTTATTTCTGTCCCTTGTTTTTAGTATTGACAATGGATATAAAGCTGAAGGATAATGAAGTCATAAGGACTGTTAAATTTACACCACCACTGTACAAACAACGTTATCAGTTTATCAAACAGTTAGTGAGTAAGCATGAACCTAAAAAGGTTAGTAAATATTTCTTAAGAAAACGTACATTTTCATTATGGCTCACTCCTTTAGAGAGGTGGATGTGGATGTTTAAAGGATAGTTCTGCACCTGTTTGCCACACTTAAGAATAATGGGCCTACATATGTACAAATGGAGAGCACACAGCATTTAGAATAATTTCCCAGAGTGTAAGTATGGTACATTCTAAAACTTGAATACTGTATAAAGTGGTTGGCACAGGATGATTTGTGTATTGTATGTAAAATCTGAGCCAGACAATTCTGACCTTGAGCCAGACATCCTGGAGAGTGAAGTCAAGTGGGCCTTAGAAAGCGTGGCAGACAACAAGGCCAGTGGAGGTGATAGCATTCCAGTTGAACTATTTAAAATCTTAAAAGATGACGCTGTTAAGGTGCTACATTCAATATGCCAGCAAGTTTGGAAAACTCAACAGTGGCCAGAGGATTGGAAAAGATCAGTCTACATCCCAATCACAAGGGCTGTGCCAAAGAATGCTCCAACTAACATAGAATTGCACTCATTTCACAC